TTAATTCCTCCATCTCTTACCAAACCTAAGTTGACTTGCATTTTTTCTTAATGTTTGCCAGTTTTGCTCTTGATGATGACTTTCATTTTAAGGTTACTTAGTCCATTTTTTGGATCATTTATATAGGTAAAAATGTGTTAACGTAGAGTCTCATCTCTACCCCCAAGAAATGAAAAGCAGCAAAACCAGCTAAACTTTCCAGACTAAATTTTTCATTCTTATATCCTTTGTTAATAAGGCCTCTGGTTGACTTTTTTTTTTTTTAACAGCTCTGTTAAGGTGCAGTTTACATGTAATATAATCTGTTCATTTAAATGCAGTTTGATGACTTTTGGCAAATGCATGTAGTTCTGTAACTACCATTTCACCCAAGCAGTGTAACATTTCAATTACTGCACAAAGTACCCTCTTGCTCATTTGCAGTCATCCCCTCCTGCTACCCCCCATCCTAGAAAACCTCTGGTCTGCTTTCTGTCGCTGTTGTTTTATGGCTTCTAGCATTTCATGTAATTGCAATAATGCAGAATTTATCCATTCATTAGTTGATAGACATTAATCCTCTTACCAACTGATGGACATTTAAATTATTTCTGATATTTTGCTATTACAAGTAATACTGCTATGAACATTCTTACACAAGTCTTTTTGTGGACATATGTTTTCGTTTTTCTTGGGTAGATACCTAGGAGTGGAATTGCGGGCTTATATGGTAAGTGTATGTTTTTAATGAAACAGCCGAATTGTTTTCCAAAGTGGCTGTACCATTTTGTATTCCCACTGGCAGTGTATGAGCATTCCAGCTGCTCCATATCCTCACCAGCACTTGGTATTTTTGTCAGTCTTTAATTTTAGTCATCCTACTGGGTGTATATCTCGTTGTAGATTTTAGTTTTAATTTCCCTGATGACTAGTGATGCTGAGCATCTTTTCATGTGCTTACAGGCCATTTGTACATATTCCTTTGTGAAGTTTCTGTTCAAACCTATTTTTTTTTATTGCGCTGTCTGTCATCTTTGGTTGCGACAGTTCTTTATATATCCCAGATATAATTCCTTTGTCAGATATTTTGATGTTGTTTTCTTCCAGTCTGTGGTTTGTTTTTTCTTTTTTTTACAACATTATCTTTTGAAGAGCAAAAGCCTTGAATTTTGAGGTAGTCCAGTTTATCAGTATTTGTCTTAATGATTCATGCTGTTCGTCCTATCTTAAATTTTTGCCTAAATCAAGGTTATGAAGATATTCTATTTTTTTCTTCCAAAAGGTTTGTAGTTTCAGCTCTCTTACTTTAGATTTATGATCTATTTATTTTTTGTATGGTATGATATGTAGTCAAAGTTTGTTTATAAATACCCAGTTTTTAAACATCATGTTGAAAAGACCATCCTTTTCCTCCATAGAATTTCCTCTACATCTTGAGGTATTTTAAATGTTGAAAATACTCTATAAGTATGGGTCTACTTTCAGAATCTATCTTCTATTTTATTGATTTTTACCAAGGGTCAGAAAACTAAGGCCTGTGTGCTAAATCTGGCTTTATATAAATAAAACTTTATTAGCACATGGCCATGCCCATTCATGCAGGTATCATCTATGACTGCAACTGCAGAGACAGATTTCAGTAGTTGCAACAGAGACTGTGTGGCCTACAAAGGTGAAAATATTACTGTTTGGCCCTTTGCAGAAAAAGATTGCCAACTCCTTATCTATTTTCTTATGCCAATACTCTACTGTCTTGTTTACTGTAGCTTTATAATACATCTTGAAATCAGGTTGCATAAGTCCCCCAACTTTGTTCTCTCTTTTTTTTTTTTTCCCTTAAAGATGGCGTCTCACCCTGTCTTCCAGGCTGAAGTGAGTGGCTTGATCATGGTTCACTGCAGCCTCGACCTCTTGGGCTCAAGTGATCCTCCTGCCTCAGCCTCTGAAATAGCTGGACTACAGGCATGTGTCACTGTACCTGGCTAATTTTTTTCTTGTTTTCTTTTTTTTTTTTTTTTCCTGAGACAGGGTCTTACTCTGTCACCCAGGCTGTAGTGCAGTGGTGCCATCATGGCTCACTGCAGCCTTGACCTCCCAGACTCAGGTGATCCTCCCACCTCAGGTTTCTGAGTAGCTCGGACTATAGGCACATGCCATCACACCAAGCTAATTTTTGTATTTCATGTAGAGTAAGGGTTTTGCCATGTTGCTCAGGCTGGGCTCAAGTGATCCATCCACAGCCACCCAAGTGCTGGGATTACAGGCATGAGCCACTGTGCCTGGCCATTTAAAAATGTTTTATTGAGATAGGGTCTCACTGTGTTGTCCAGGCTTGTCTCAAACAGGCAATCCTCCTGCTTCGGCCTCCCAAGTGCCACGTTGTGAAAATCATTGAGAGACAGGAAATGAAGGTGGCTTGTCTAATCTGATTCTAAGGCCTGAGGAATTGTACAGTGGCCAATAGTCACACACATCCCATTAGTAGCTACTTATTTAGGAATGAAATAAACACATTACTTTTTTTTCAATTTATGTGTAGTTTTTTTTTTTAATGGTCACTAAATTTGTTAGAAGACAAATACTTAACAGTCAGTAAGTCCTTAACATCATAGAGCAGTTGTTAGAAACTGCAACTTTAAGTGAAAGGACTTACAGCAGGTTGAAAGAAATAACACCTCATGATCCACCCACCTCGGCCTCCTAAAGTGCTAGGATTACAGGCATGAGCCACCGCACCTGGCCCTTTTTTTTCTTTCTTTCTTTTGAATCATGTTTGAAATGTTTCTTGGATTTAACCTTTCCTTTTTTTCTGTAGTCACATGCCAGTCTTGAATGACTGTAGTAGCATCTCTGGGGTTTTCAGTTATGGCAAGAGATGAAGGATATCTTTTGAATGCCTGTCTTGTTCTAAATATATCTCCTATTTCTCAGTAGCCCTGGAGTTACAAGCATAAGCCACCATGTCCAGCCTGTTCTGCTTTTTACATATGGGCTATTACAGGACCTTTGTATTTCTGTGTACATTTTAGAATTATTTTGTCAATGTGTACAAAAGCCTACTGGGATTTTATAGGTATTGCATTGTAACTATAGTTAATTTGGGGGGAATTAATAGTGTAAAAATACTAAGTTTCTAGTCCATGAACATGTTATATGTCTCCATTTGTTTATGCTCTTTTTAATGCATTATTTTGTTTAGTGTATAGGCTTTGCACATCTTTTGTATATTTATTCCTAAACATTTTATCTATTGATTTTACTCTAAGTAGAATTACTAAAAATATCATTTTCCAATTATTTATTGTATGTACAAATACAATTGATTTTACATATTGATCTTGTATACTGCAACCTGACTAAATTATTTACACTCATTTTACAAAAAAAAACTCCTATTTTTTTTTTGGAGATGGAGTCTCGCTGTGTCACCCAGGCTGGAGTGCAATGGCTTGATCTCGGCTCACTGTAACCTCTACCTCCCAGGTTCAAGCAATTCTTTCTGCCTCAGCCTCCTGAGTAGCTGGGACTACAGGCGTGTGCCACCACGGTTGGCTAATTTTTTTGTATTTTTAGTAGAGACGGGATTTTACCATGTTAGCCAGGATGGTCTCTATCTCCAAACCTTGTGATCCACCTGCCTTGGGCTCCCAGAGTGCTGGGATAACAGGCATGAGCCACTGTGCCCGGCCGTTTTCCTAGTTTTTATAGATTTTTTGGGATATTTCACATTCATCTTCATACCATTGTGAATAAAGATTGTTTTACTTCCTCCTTTCCAATCTACTTAATTTTGCCTTGATCCACTGGCTATTTTGAATGGAAGTGTTGAGAGCAGACATCATTGCCTTATTATTATTGGATCTCATTATGATCTTCAGTAGAATCATTTAGTTTTTCACCATTAAGGGTCACAGTAGGTTTTTTTTAGGTGCCTTTTACGAGGTTAAAAAAGTTCCTTTTTATTCTTTAGTTTCTGAGATTTAAAAAAAATCATGAATGACTTGGATTTTGTAAAATATTTCTTCTGCATCAATTGAAATGATCATATTTCTTTTTCTCCTTTATTAAAAGGTAAATTACATTTATTGATTTTTGGATGTTGAACTGCATTTGGTTTTTGGATGCTAAAGTGACTTTTTTTTGTGATAAAGTCCATTTGATCAGGTTTTATTTTTAAATATTGGGTTTGACTTGCTATAAGCTAAGGCTTTTGCATCAATATGAGGGATAAGGTCTGTAGTTTTTTTTGTGAAATCCTTGTTTTTGGTATAAGAATAATACTGGCTCTGTAAAACAAGTTAGGAAATGTTTCTTTGTATTTTGAAAGAGTTTATACAGGACATACTTTTATTAAAAAAATCTTAAATGATAGAATTCACATTTTTCTTTTTTTAAGGAGACTTTTTGGCCAGGCACGATGGCTCATGCCTGTAATCCCAGCACTTTGGGAGGCCAAAGTGGGTGGATCACGAGGTCAGGAGTTCAAGACCAGCCTGACCAACATGGTGAAACCCCGTCTCTACTGAAAATACAAAAATTAGCCAGGCATGGTGGTGCGCACCTGTAATCCCAGCTACTCAGGAGGCTGAGGCAGGAGAATCGCTTGAACCCAGGAGGCAGAGGTTGGAGTGAGCCAAGATTGCGCCATTGCACCCCAGCCTGGGCAAAACTGTGTCTCAAAAAAAAAAAAAAAAAAAAGAAAAGAAGACTTTTTATTCATAGCTAAGTTGTAAGAGATTCACAGTTTACCCTAAATTAACTCAGTGAGAATGTTGTACTTTTCTTGGCACAAATAAATTTGAAAATTCATTGGCTTTATCCTGCTTTCTGATTTTGTTATATGTGGAGGATATATTTATGAGAAGTTGAGAGCCAGCTTTTCTAACTGTATTTCCAATTGCATTCCAGCTTCATAATAGGAAATAATTTTATTGTTATATTTTGACTAAATGTTTAATAGTGCTGTACTTATGAAATATTTTATTGCTTTGCTTATTCATCTTTGTTTTTGTTAATTTTAGGAACTTAAAAGGAGTCTAGAAAATCAAGCAGAAAGGAAAATGGAAGGTCAGAATTTCCAGAGTCCTCAATGTCTCAACACATGCTCAGAGCAAAATGGTTATGTTCTAACACTATCAAATGCACAACCAGTTCTGCAATATGGTAATCCTTATGCATCTCAGGAAATAAGAGGTTATTACAGTATTTTTGGTTTGGGGTTAGCTGCATCTGGAGTTTTTTTATGGTTTATATTTTCATGGATTAGCAAACTGCTGGTATAATCAACTCTAATACAAACATTATTTTATTTGTATAATTAGCAGTTTTAATATTTAACAGTGTAACTGGCCTCATCTATAAGTGATGCACCATGAGATGAGTAGTTTATTTGCTTATTACATATAGCTCACAATTTAAAAAATCACCTGGGTTAAAAATAAAAACATCTATTTTTTTCATGTACCAAAGTGGTTCTTTATATACTGTTCATCATATCTATACATACAGATGTTAATTTTAGTAACCGGTTTCACTGTACCCTTCCAAAAATTTTATTACAGATGGAGCAGATGGTGCTTTTTACCCAGATGAAATACAAAGGCCACCTGTGAGAGTCCCCGCTTGGGGACTGGAAGACAATGTTGTCTGCAGCCAGCCTGCTCGAAACCTTAGTCGACCTGATGGCTTAGAGGACCCTGAGGATAGCAAAGTAATTTTGAATTTTCATTGTGTGAGCCTGTCCCTTTTTTATTTTTTAGCTTATGTGGAGAGTTAAGGGTATGTGTGCATATGTGTATCTTTGTGTGTGTGGAAGGAGAGTGTGTACTTGTGCCTGCACACAATTGCCTACTTGATTTTTGGAAAAACCTGCTTGTATTTAAATTAGAAAAAAATCTACCAGTATGCTTCAGACTTATACTTTAGGAGTTATATACTAAAGTAAAAGATTAAGTTTAGGGAATAATCTCAGAATATTGTAGTTATCAGATAGTTTAATCTTAAACATCACTAAGTAACTTACTATATTCTTTTGATTATAGATGTACTAGGCTTGAAGCAGCAAAGTGTTAATGGCAATATTATGTTTCCTTACAGCAGCCCTTTTTGGATAATAGTTTCTTTTCTTCATAGAAGCTCTTTTTGGATTTCCTGTGCATTAAGATGAATTTAAAAGAAATGCTTTATCGTGCTCTTTGCAAGTACAGTGGTATCATGACCTGTTTCTTATTTAATCTAGTTTGCTGCATTTAATTGCTATTAACCTTTGCAGAAACTGATCAGTGTTCAGACAGGCATGATTTTAGCCCTAGTGCTCAACACCCATAATGGAGAAAAATGTATTTCTCCCTCCTGCCTTTTGGCCTCCTATGTCCATTACTGGGAATAATTAGGAAAACTGTCAGAACTTTTGTAGCCTATTTAAGGTCTAGAGTATCATCTTACTGCTTTTTCATACCTTTACCTCACATTTTGCATATTTAATCTGATCATTCTTGGCACAGATGTTACATGTGACAAGACTTTCTCTTCTGTAGTCATCTGCTTCAGTTTAATTAGCAGAATGTTCTTTCTGATCTGTGTGCTTTGCCCTCCTGCAAACCCATGAGAAGCAGTGTTAGAGTCTTGTGCTCATTTGCTGACATGCTTAGATTTGGTAATGAGATGGAGGACTTTTAATATGCACACCTTGAGTAACTTTATTTTGCAGTCAGAAGATTTTTCACATTAGAAAGTAATTCTTATGTATATTCAGAATTAAAAAAAATTATTGTCATTACAACAATAAAAAATCACTTGCAAATGAAGTGTTTTAGTAAGTTAGTTTAGTAAGAATATGGAAAGCAAATTTGAGTTGATCTGTTCTTTCTTTCTGTTTCTCTGCCCTGGGAGTGATTAATAGCCACAGGCCCCAGCACTTTTGAGTCAGGGTTGAGGTGACCTACCTACTCTTTCAGCCTACCCTGGTGCCTACACCTGCCATGTCTCCTCTCTTCTGCACCAGAAACTGTGGTCAGTTGTCAGATCAAAAACCTTTTGTGGCTCCCATTTACCTAACTTTAACATCATAATTATGACAGCAGCAAACATTTCTATACCCCTCTTTGCCATTAATGCGGAGCTCTTTAGATAGAGTCACTTATTGGTTCTTCATAGCAGTTCTTCATAGCAGACTTGTCACAACTTTATAATGGAGGAAACCAAGAGACAGATTAAATAGCTTGCCCCAAATCACATAGCTGCTGTAGGTAGAGACAGGATTGAACCTCATGAGATTGGCTATAAAAGCTGTGGTCTTAGCTACCTGTCAAATGGACTAAACCAGAGGTTTTCCTACTTTCTTAGTTCATGGCACCCTTAGCATGTCAGTAATTTTTTTTTCACAGTAACCCCTACGCCGAAAGAAGGACAGTAAGTCCTCACTTAATGTCATATATAAGTTACTGGAAATTGTGACTTTAAACCAAATGATGTATAACAAAACTAGTTTTTTCCCTCATCAGCGTTATAATGAACCGACAAAAGAAATGATGTTATTTCTTTCAACCTGCTGTAAGTCCTTCATTTAAAGTTGCAGTTCCTAAGAACCGCTCTATGATGTTAAGTAAGGACTTACTGAAAGTTAAGTATTTGTCTTCTAACAAATTTAGTGACTATTAAAAAAACTACACCTAAATTGAAAGAAAATTAATGTGTTTATTTCATTCCTAAATAAGTAGTTACTAATGGGATGTGTGTGACTATTGGCCACTGTACAACTCCTCAAGCCTTAGAATCAGATTGGACAAGCCACCTTCATTTCCTGTTTCTCATTGATTTTCACAATGCGGCACTTTATATCACAGCAGCTGCCAAAACCAGCATCTCAAAGATAAGATGACATTGAAAGGAATGGGTAGCACTATTCAAAGTTGAATCTGTGAGCCGTCTCCAACGATTGTAGTTGTTCACGTGGTATATGACAAATCCACATGCACCTCAACTTACAATGGTGTTACATCCTGATAAACCTATTATAAGTTGAATATGTGTTTTCGACTTGAAGGATATTTTCAGCTTACAGTGGGTTCATCGGAACGTAACTCCATCGTAAGTTGAGGAACGTACTGAATGTGTATTGCTTTTGTGCCATCTTAAAGTTCAAAAATTGTAAGTCTAACCATTGTGTGTTGGAGGCCAACTCTAATGAGTATTTCTGTGTACTTCTGCATATATAATATCTTTAGAATATTTAAATTATCCCACAGTAATCCTCGGAATTTACTGTGGTGCCCTAGGTACTTTCATACCTCATTTTGGGAACTATGGGTCTAAATCGTTGCTTCTCAAAAAAGTGGTTTGTAGACCAGCAGTAGTGGTATCTCCTAGGAGTATGTTGGAAATACAGAATCTCCTGCCCCACTCCAGCCCTACTGAGAATCAGACGGCATTTAACAAAATCTTTAGGTGATCATATGATTTTTAACATTTGGGATACACTATTTTAAAACTTCCTAACCCTAATCGTTCAAGGCCAGATTATTTTCTCTTCCCTTAATTCATATCTTACTTTCTAGTTGTGTTCTTGCATTTCTTAGTGTTTCTCTTCTACTTTCATTCCTTTCTCCTCTGTCTCTTAAAGATGAAAGCCCACACATTCTATTAATATGTGGCTTATTTGAAACTTTCCACATGAGCCCTTCACTGTGAACCCCTAAACTGAAGACATTTTTTGTTGATAGACAGTTTTTTCTTTTTTCTGGTGAGTTGTAGCTTTTATTCTCAGAAGGGTCTGTGACTCCAAAATGATTGAGAACCAGTGCTTGTTTCCCATTTATCATGATGCACTGTTTGAGTTTTTGCCTTTCTCAAATTTGCCATTTTTCGTGTATTATCTTACGTTTTAAATTTAATTTTAATGTGTTTTCTGTTCGCAAAAATAGTGTGTGGTTACAGTCAATTTCATCTTTATCAAGAGTGCCAAGACAGTTCAAGAGGAAAAGAATAGTGTTTGCAACAAATGGTACTGGGAAAATTGTATATCCAGTTCGATGAAAGAGTGAAATTAGACCCTTGACTCATATCCTGTGCAGAAATTAACTCAAAATTGGATTTTAAATGTAAGAGCTAAACTACAAAACTCAAAACATATAGATAAATCTTTATAACTTGGATTAGGCAGTAGTTTCTTAGATATGACACCAACAGCATAAGCAACAAAGAAAAAATAGATATAGGTTGACTATCCCTTATCCAAAATGCTTGGGACCAGAAATATTTCAAATTTCAGATTTTTTCAGATTTTGGAATATTTGCATTATACTTACCAGTTGAGCACTTCTAATCTGAAAATCCAAAGTCTACAGTGCTTCAGTGAGCATTTCCTTTAAGTGTCATCTCAGTGCTTAAAAAGTTTTAGATTTTGGAGCATTTTGCTCTTCAGATTTTTGGATTAAAGATATTCAGCCTGTAATTGAATATGTCATCAAAAGGATTAAATGAATCTTTGCTGTTCCATTTAAAATTTTTTACACACAGTTATTTCTAACAGATAATATATAGCTGGTTGGCATCTCTTAATGCTGAATATTCCCTTTTCTATACCATATTAGTATAATACCTTTTATATAGTAGAGGCTTTTTAAATGTTATTAATGAGTTTAGTTTAAAGAAATGTGTTTGTTCCATTTTTGCCTATTAAACTATTTAAAATTCAGGCCATCTTAGAAAAGTAATTGTTGGGCTGGACATGGTTGCTCACGCCTGTAATCCCAGCACTTTGGGAGGTCTAGGCAGGCAGATCACTTGAGGCCAGGAGTTTGAGACCAGCCTGGCCACATGGCAAAACCCCATCTCTACTAAAAATACAAAAAAAATTTAGCTGGGCATGGTGGCACATGCCAGTAATCCCAGCTGCTTGGGAGGCTGAGGCATGAGAATTGTTTGTATCTGAGAGACAGAGTTTGAAGTGAACCAGGATTGTGCCACTACACTCCAGCCTGGACAACAGAACAAGACTCTGTCTCAAAAAAAAAGAAAAGTAGTTAATTTTTTGTGGTAGCTTTATTGAGATATAATTTACATATTGTACAATTAGCCATTTAAAGTATACAATTTAGTGGTTTTTAATATATTCACAGAGTTGTGTAACCATCACCATATTCAATTTTAGAACATTTTCCTCACTACCAAAAGAAACCCTGTACCTTGTAGCAGTTAACCTCTTCCCATTTATTCCCACCAGCCCAGGAAACCCTCAGTCCACTTTGTTTCTCTATAGATTTGTCTGTTCTGCACAGTCATATAAGTCAAATCATAAAATTGTTATCTTTTGTGACTGGTTTCTTTCACTTAGTATGTTTTCAAAGTTACCCATGTTTTAGCATGCATCCATGTTCAACATGAAGAATGGGTTTTATTCTTGTTTGTTGGTTTGGATGTATAGATTGAGCGTCTAAAACCCGAAACTGAGTGCTGACATGATACTCAAAGGAAATGCTTACTGGAGCATTTTGGATTTTCAAATTTGGGATGCTCAGCTGGCAAGCATAATGAAGTATTACAAAATCTGAGAAAGTCTGAAATCTGAAACACTTCTGGTCCCAAGCATTTTGGATAAGGGAGACTCAACCTGTCCCACATTTTGTTTACCCATTCATCTGTTAGACATTTGGGTTATTTCACCTTTTGGTTATGGCATACATGCTTTTGTTTGTGTAACTTTTCACTTCT